AGCGGCCCCGCGGGGGGCGCGGCGTTGGCGGCCCCAGCCCCCGGGCCGGGCGGTGGCGGCCCAGGGCCCCGCGTCTACTTTCAGAGTCCCCCTGGGGCAGCAGGCGAGGGCCCCGGTGGCGCGGACGACGAGGGCCCAGTGAGGCGCCAAGGGAAGGTCACCGTCAAGTACGACCGCAAGGAGCTACGGAAGCGCCTCAACCTGGAGGAGTGGATTCTGGAGCAGCTCACGCGCCTCTACGACTGCCAGGTGTGTTCCCCACCCCGCGCCGACACCCTAAAATCTGTCCCGAGTCAGACCGCCCGGGAACCCCACCGTGAGTTCTCCTGTCACCGGAGTCAATGGACGCTCCGCTTCCCCGCGCTCCGCTCCTCTCTGCACTCCCCGCCCCCAATGTTTGCTCTTGTCTGACCTAAGTCACTCCTGGCTTCTCTGCTGCCTCAGACCCTGCCTCCCTCATGCTACTCCCCGGGTCAAGCTTGGTGTCCTCCAGAAGTCTCAAGGGATAGCCTGGGTTTGTGGCAGGAGGCAGGGGGTTGCCTGGGCTACCACTGGAGGAGGCCTAACCTACTTAGTGCCAGCTAGCCTTGACCCAGGTTAAAAGTCCCTAGTCTGGTTGGTGGGGGGTAATGTAAAGGGTCTGGCTGTTCTAATGGGCTAGCCTGGAGCTCCATCTTAGCGTGTAGGCAAGCTAGCTTGCTCTCTGGGCTCTGGTTCTCCACCCCATGACTCCCTGGTCGCTCAGATGGTGACTCAGGCCCCGGGGGGCAGGGTGGAGGAGTGGGTTTGCCCTGTGCTGCCTACTCTAGCCCAGCCCTGGAATGCAGCTGGCTCCAAACAAGGTAGCTGCTTTCAGGGGGGGGGGGAGGCACCCCCTCCCTCACCAAAGCATGGGCTCTTTGTTTCCCCTTTACTAGGCCTGGGTCCTTCCCACTGACCCCTCACCCTTTACTTCCTCCTCACTCCAGGGAAGCTGTGACAGGTGTTTGGGGGAGTGGAGGGGGTTGTGATGAGCTGGGACAGCTGGCTCCATCGGTGTTCTGGTGAGATGGGGGGTCCGGATGTTGGGGAGACACATCTGCCAGGTTCCAGCCCAAGGTCTGCAGCCCTCGCTGTCTGGCCTAGTCTGGCACCCAGGGTGCCCACTGGCAGGGACAGGCAGCTCCCCCCACTGGGCAATTTGCCTTGGCACGGGCCTGATCTGTTTTCCTCCTCGGAACAGCTGCCGTTGTCTGCTGGGCAGAGAGGGCTGGGCTCCTCCCGAGGTAGGCAGGGATTTCAACCAGAGAGCCCCTCTCATACCTTCTCTCCCAACTCAGGCTCTTGTCTCTCCCTCCTCCCCACCCCCACCCAAGGAAGAGGAGATCCCAGAGCTGGAGATTGATGTGGACGAGCTCCTGGACATGGAGAGTGACGATACCCGGGCTGCCAGGGTCAAGGTGAGAGGGGGCTGGGGGAGGGGCAACAGGAGGCTGCCTAGAGGCAGTGAGGCTTGGAGAAGTGAGGCTCCGGAGCCAGGCTTTCGCCTGACCCTGTAACCCTGTAACCTTAGCCTCAGCTTCTGCCTCCAGCAAATGGGGCCAATGGTACTTACCCAGCTGTGAAGTGGCTTTGGCATCTCCTGTGCCTCAGGGTGGCCACAGTATCTTGGAAGTTGGTATAGGTGAACTCTAGGCCCCCATTCCTGAGAACTCACTGTGTATTTAATCCCTCCTCTCCCTCATTCCTCCCTAGGAGCTGCTGGTTGACTGTTACAAACCCACTGAGGTAAGTGGTTTCCTCAGAGAGTGGGGTGAGGGGAGTCTGGGCTCCTGTCTTCTTGAGGTCTGGTCTCTCTAATGTCTACCCTCTCATCCAGGCCTTCATCTCTGGCCTGCTGGACAAGATCCGGGGCATGCAGAAGCTGAGCACACCCCAGAAGAAGTAAGGGTCCCCGACCCAGATGAATGGTGGCTCCCACAGGACAATCGCTGCCCCCCGACCTCATAGCAACAGCAATACCAGGGGACCCTGCAGCCAGGCCTGGTGCCATGAGCAGGGCTCCCCATGCCCCTGGCCCAGGGGCCTCTTCCCCTGCCCCCTCAGTTTTCCATTTTTGGGGTTTTTTATTGTTATTAAACTGATGGGACTTTTTGTGTTTTTATATTGACTCTGCGGCGCGGGCCCTTTAATAAAGCTAGGATATGCCTTTGGTGCGGCTAACAAGCTTGGCTGGTCTCTTTTGGGGGGGGACACACTGCTCTACAACTGCTGCCAGCTCAGCTTCTCCCCAGGTGACCACAGGCCTTCCTGAGGGCCATGTAGCCATGACGATAGCCCAGTACTGACTCCCAGACCAGGAGCTGGAAGTGGCTGGGGAACTGCAGGGGGAGGGTGCTATTGCTGTTGGCAGGAAGGAACATTCCTTTTTCCTTCTGGGCAAGATCCACCATGCCATTGAGCCTAGACCCCAACACTCCGCAGTCAGGAAAGGAGAAAAGGGTGAGGGTGGAGGGATGCTGAAGGAGTTGGTAGGGCCCACAAACAAACACAGGCTCACTCCTTGGGTTTTTTAAAGTTTTTTTGTTTTTTATAAACAGTCTGGTCCCTGATGAAGGCCTGTCTCCCTGCCCCTCCCCACTCTGGCTACAGTTCTGAACGTCGCTCGATTTTGAGCAGCTCCACTTCAAACACCAGAGTTGCACCACCTGTAGGGGAGAAGTGGGCTAAGATGTGAACTAGGGCCACGGGGAGAGGGAATGGCTGCAGGAGATGGAGGATAAGAAGGTATATTACCTGGAATCTTTGGAGGAGCTCCCCGCTCTCCATACCCTGTTAAAGATGCACAAAGAAATAGTGAGCTACGGCAGGCTCTCTTCCAGTTCAGGAAAAGAGAGGAGTGTTCTGCAGCCAGCCAGGCAGCAAGAAGGCCAGAAATGGAGGTATAATGGGAATGGGAGAGGATGCCAAATGCATGGCAGATGGCAGAGGGTGGGAACTACAGCTGAGAGTTTTGCCCTGTCCTCACTGCTGGACACAAGCACTTGGAAGAGGCATGTATTGTAATGAGAGAATAGGATGCAGACCTATGAGAGGCTGAAGCAGACTTTACCCTTCCCACACACCCCAAACCCCTCTATAGCCTCTCCGGAAGGGCCTCTTACCCAGCTCTGATGGGATCACCAGCTTCCGCTTTTCCCCCTCACACATCCTGTGGGAAGATACATGCTCAGCACATGGCAGCACCCAGGCTCCCTGCCCCACCCCTAGGGCTTGCCTCCCACAGCTCACATCCTGGACCATATCCATGCATGCTCCCCCAACCCTCCTCCCTCCTGTCCCCAACTCACCCCAGTAGCCCCTGATCCCAGCCCTTGATGACCTGGCCCGTGCCAAGGGAGAAGACAAAGGGCTGGTTCTGGGGCAGGCTGCTGTCAAACTCTGTCCCATCTTCCAGCTTTCCCTGTGGGACAGTGGGAAGGCCAGTGAGAAGGAGGGGACCACTCCTGACCACCCTGAGCTGTTCTCCCCATCAGGCTGGCCCCCACAGCATTGATGGTCATAGTCATTGAAGGGGACAAAGCCTTGGGCAGCCCACAGTACACCATTACTGCCTGCTGGTGCCTACCAGGGGAGTGGACAATGAAAGGCAAGATAGAACCATGGAAACTGGCTGAGAGGGGAGAGGGGATTTGCCAAAGTCACCCCCCTGGTTGGTGGAGGAACCGACTTCCAAATCCTTTCTGGTCCCCAGAAGCCCCACCCCCCAAGCCCCGCCCCCTCACCGTGTAGTGCATGTGCAGGACGTCCCCCTTGCGAGATTTGATGGGACAGTGATCCACCCGCTTCTTGACCCCGATCTGCAGCTTCCGTTTGCCCTCGGCCCCCGTGGCCGAGGCCAGGGTGCTCAGGCAGATGGACAGAACTGTCAGGACCCAGCTCAGCCTCATGTCTCTGCGGGCACAGACCCCGACCGACCGACCGGGAGGAGGGCGGGGAAGGCATGGAACATGGGCAGGTACTGGCCCCCACCGTAGTACCTTGCCTGCCCCTCGGGATCCCCTTGTCCCGGGTCACCGCCCTCTCCCCCGGGCTCCGTGGCCACACTTACCAGTCCAGTGAGAAGGGGGCTTGGCCGAGGACCCCAGCAGCGGGGAGAGGGGGTCAGGGGAGGCCACAGCAGCCAGGGCCCCACCCCTTTGCTCACCCCCAAACCTTCCCTCCCTCCTGGTCCCCACCTGCGCTCTTCAATTCCCACCCGTCCCTTTACGCAAAGTCCAGACTCTATCTGACTGCACAGCAGTTGCCCCGACCGGGCGGCCCCACTCACGCCACACCCAGCTGCCCCCGGCCCAGCACACCCACACCTCTGCGGCTGCTGCAGGGGGTCGGCCCCGAGGCACCCACACATCCCCGGTGGGTGGCTCCGGGGAGCTCCGATCCTCCGGAGGTACCCCCCAGCCCGGCCCTGTACCTCCGCCCGGGGCGCCGCCCCAGCTCTGAGCCCTCGGGGGTCTCCGGGGTACCCAGACTGGCCCTGTGTCGGCCGGCCGCCCAGCCCGCTCCACCCACACCACCTCTCCGGGGGGAGTTCTCGGCCTACCGCGTCCCCAGGCCCTGCCACCACGGAGACCGCCCCCGCGCGGACGCCCCGGGCCATTACTCTGGCCTAGCCCTTCGCTTGGCTCCTTGGCCCCGCCCTTTAAGGAGCGTAGTCCCGCCCCCGGCCCTGCGGCCCCGCCCCCGACAGAACTAGGCCCCTTTGCCACGCCACTCACCGACGGAAGCCCCGCCCCCAGCGCCTGGGCTCCGTCCCCCTCGGTCTCCAGACCCGACGCCCCGCCTTCCACCTGTTCCAGCTCCTCCTCCAGCAGCCGGGCTCCGCCCCCCACCGGTCCTAGCTCCGCCCCCAACTGCCGAGCTCCGCCCTCCACTGGCACCAGCACGGAGGTCCCACCCGTCTCTGTCCCACGTCCCGCCCCGATTCGCAGGGCTCCGCCCCGTGCGGCGTGAGAACCCTCCCCCTGCGGCATCTCCAAACAGCTCCGACCCCAACCCCCAATTTCCTCGTCACCTATTACTCGTTGACACTCGGAGCCCCGACCCGCTTCTGCCCGGCCTGATCCAGCCTGCCCTCTTGCACCCCGGCTCCCCCCAGCCCGGGCTGTGGCCCCCGCTCACCTCCTCGCCGCGCCCCCGGAGTCAACCCCGGTCGTGCTGCCACCTCTGCGCAGGCGCGTCCCCGCCGCTACCAGGCCGGGCCACGCCGCCCTCCCTCATTGGACAATGCGAAACCCGCTGCCACCCGCTTGCCGGCGCGGCTTCACCCCTAGCTCTGCCTCCCGCGCCGCCGCGTGACTTGTGCGTCACCTCCGGCGGGGCGGTAGTCTTTGAGGGTAGGTGGAAGTGACTTCCTAAAGGGCTGAAAGCTCTTCCGGCCGAGGTGACATTAAGGTCAAGTGGGCGTGGGTTCCCGGAGGGGGTCTTGTGGCGCCATTTTATGTCGCCCCCAGCCGGGTCTCCTGCTTGCCCTTGGCCTATTCGTGACCCCTAAGCCTCAGTCAGTTGCTGTGGAAAGAGCCTGAGCTTCAGAGCGAGACTTGGGTTTGACCTCCGGGTCTGCCACTCACTGACTGGTCGTGTGACCTTGAGCAAGTTCCTTGCCTGGAAGAATTTGGCTTGTAAAGGGGCTCGATAACAGCCACCCCCCAGGCCACCAGAAGGACTGAGACGTTGTGCCGCGCCAGGCCCGGGCCTACAGCGCATGGTCCTTCCCTCTTCTTTCAGCATCCATGTCCATCTCCACCTGCCGCAGGCAACAGTCATGACTGCAGTGGTCTGGCTGGGCCTGTTCCCCACCAGACCAATTTCCAGGTGCCCCAGTAAACGTGTCAACTGAAGTAATGAACCTGCAGTTGAGAGGCAGCTAAACCTAGAGGTTTAGGGAGACAGCCGACTTGAGCTCAAATCCCCAGGCCAATGAGCCTTTTTTTTTTTTTTTTTTTCTTAAAAGATGACCGGTAAGGGGATCTTAACCCTATACTTGGTGTTGTCAGCAACACGCTCAGCCAGTGAGCAAACCGGTCATCCCTATATGGGATCCGAACCTGTGGCCTTGGTGTTATTAGCACCACACTCTCCCAAGTGAGCCACAGTCCGGCCCCCAATGAGCCTTTCTGGACTAATTTCCTCAATTGAAAAAGGCAGATTAAGAAAAGAAAAAAAGGTAGATATTCACTATGCTGACCTCCGAACTGAGGATGAAGCGTGGAGGTGCCGGTGAAGCACTGTGCATGTCTGGTGGGGCTAAGCGGGTGGGAGGTGGTAGCTCCAGGGCCCTAACCCTCATCTGTCTCACCCTAATTTTACGGCCTATGGCAGGATCAGTGACATCATGGCTAAGAAAATGATTTGAAAGTAGTAATCACTGTTAGGAATTCTTTCAGTTGAACCCATTCCTACCTTGGGCCACCAAGGTTATGACCACACCCTCCAACCCAACACTTCAGAGAAAGCCTCCATTAGGGTGGTTGCTTTGGGTTAATTCTGACCCTAAATGTCCTACTGCAGCTGGGCAAAGCACTGGTGCCCAGTGTTGGCCGTTGGTCCACCACCCCACCACTCAGCCCTGGCACTAGAGGCTGCAGGGAGAATGGTGGGCACCGAGCTTGGGCTGCATCAGATAAGTTGGGTGAGACTCAGGCAGCAGCTGATGAGGAGAGCCCTAGGGTGCAAGGAGGTGAAGGTGGAGAAAACTGTGGGTCAGGGTTGGGGGAGCCTGTCTTCCAAACCAAGCCCACCAGCCACAGACCTTAGTGCTTCCCTCGCAGGGAGGTGGGAGTGAGGTGGGGGCAGGACAGGTGCACGGCCTTAGTGTTAAGCTACAGGGAGCAAAAAGCAGTAAGCACTGAGGTGCTGCCCTGTGCCCAGCAGGAAAAATGCGTGTTCTTTTCTATTATGTGAAAACAGACATGGGGCCGGCCCGTGGCTCACTCGGGAGAGTGCGGTGCTGATAACACCAAGGCCCCG